AAAATTACCAACTCCGTAATCTTGACCAATTCTACCGTTAACAATCTTAAGATCAGAACACATCAATATATCTAAAAGCTTAATCCCCGATGAATTAACTATTTTGTCTAGTGAGCTTCTAACGGGTAATAAATCCAAGTCTAAACTAGGTACATTGTATATCATTATCAATAGTATTCAAATAACGTTCATAAATGTTTGGGGATTCTAAAATGTCACTTTTTACCCCGCATCTAGAGTTCAAATCTCCTAGTATTCCCACCGAGCCCATATTTGAATATTTACGTACATTCGTTTCTAAAATCTCAAAAAAACCTATGTCATGTAAATTGAAATATACAGAACTACGGGGAGGAATGTACATAAAACAAAGATAAATGTCATCATCATTTCCAAAATACGTTTTGAGTAATTTTATCCAAATCACACCATTATTGTCAATATCCATTATTTGAACTCCATCTTTCAAAGAGATATTAAAATACAAGCATACTCCGCCGTGACCTCTCTTACTAGTTCCATATAAAGAGGCCGGTCTGGGAACAAATATAGATTGGTAACCTTCAAGGTCAAAACCCTCGGGTTTGTGCTGCCACGTTTCACTAAGGAAAATAAAGTCAAATTCATAAATAAAGTTCAAAAATTCATCATCATCTAAACAAGTTAAACCTTCGATATTCCAAGATAGGAAACTAAGCTCATACTTTTCAAATATTCCCTAACTATGAGCATTTTTGGTGGTAGAAGAGAACATATCATGGTACCCATTTTGCGGTGACACATACAGTTTATTGTCAATGAAAAGTTTATCACGAACAAGAACTGCTTTTTTATTTTGGTTTCTGGCTTCAATCATTTTTGGTATTAAGTCACGCCTTCTTTGTTGAATTTCTTGTGGGTATTGCTCACCTACATTGAATTTTGTACCTTTAAGATTCACAGATTTTAATGCATTTTTTACCTCTAATTTTGATGCTGTATCCTTGAACTTAACCACAATTGGCCTACATTTACCGGATGTTGGTTTGCCGATTCTATGCGCACGATCAATCAGCACTTTATTTTTCACATCTGGAATTTTCAATAAGTTTGCGCAAAAATAATGCACTTTTTCCTCACAAATATCATTCGCAAAATTCGGCTCACTGTTGCATACATCGGAATATAAAACTCCGTGAACATCATGCAAAGTTTCACTAATAGACCGAATATCATCTGAGTGATGTTGACCCTCACCGGAAGTGCTTGCGTTGTCATTTTGTGTAGGTTGGGACTGAATACCTAGAGACGAACCTTCTGAAATCCCGTAAAACATCATATTATCGCGCATTGAACGGCATTTTAGGTCCAGAACATCCTCTTTTATTACCTCCCTTTCAGTCCGTAATGATGCATTTTCCATGCTTAAAGCTCGAACCTCTGACTGTAAAGTGTCGATTACTGACTTATTTGAGACTGTTGACTTCAAAATATCATCATATTGACAACTGATAAACTTTTGACTTGAGTCTATTTCATTGATCTTTAAGTCCATGGAATTTAATCTGGTCGTCATACCTTTGTATTATTAGTTATGAAGATTTTTGACAGGTTATACATTGTAATGGGCTCGTCAATTATCGCGGGTCTTAATCTGTTGTTTATCACACATTTTCATGCAATTAAAGATAAGATATTGAAAATTTAAATCTGTTACAATGTATATATTATTTTCTTTAGTATAATCGTACTTATAAATCCTGTCATTGAAATTCTTTGATCCTATTCCTGAAATGTGGCTACATAATCTCAGAACTTGGGACGTAGTCATCTCATCATCTTCACACATGTCCAAGGCGTTGAAAAAGACACAAATATAACTTTAAAAAAATATCTCAAAACTAATTAATCAAATAACGAACAAATCATTATCAAAATAGGTATTAAATACAGACATACTTCTACAATATATTATATTCATTAATGAAATTTTGCTTCATAATTTGATCACAACAAACATATTGATGATAAAACCACTTTATATACATGAACCATGCCTACTTTGCCTTTAATTACTACTCGTATATATAAAATAAGATCGACGAAACCACTTTCGCACCTCTTCATAAATTAAGTTCGCCAGTAGTTCGACGAAACAACCATAATTGAAATTTGGTCGCGACGTCGGCGACCTTCATATAACGTTGAACCAACGTTGAAACCCCGACGTCTAACAAACGTTTCATTTTGACGTCGTATCGACGTCGGAATTGGTCGGTAATCTGACAATAGGTGACTTTAATTATATATAATTGATGAAACCCAATATATTTAAATCAAATCATTAACAGCGAGAAATTTTGTTCTGTTTTGAAAGGAAAAAAATATACATTTATCTCCCCGTCAAAACAAGAACATGGTCACGTGGGTGGCGTTCCCATGCGATATTCGCAAGGTGGCGCTCTGTAAACGGATAGCCGCAGATCAGTATAAAAGATATGTGCTCTGTCTTCTTTGTACATGATAAAATATTTCTGTGAGGAAGTTTAAAAAGTGTTTTTACTAATTAACAATTCGGTTGTTCCATTTTTGTGGGCCTATTTTATTCGTGGTAAATACTTAAGTGCATTCGAATTTTCGGATTTGAAATTCAATTTTTTGGCGGACAAGTTTACACGTGGAAGATCGACAGACGAAGCGTTGCAGATCTAGACTTCTATATTGAAAACAAAAAGAAAGCAGGTAAGCAAACGTTAGATATTGTTGTTATTTATGATAATTTACCGCATGTTTGCATGGATTTGACCGTTAATTGATCCTAATACTAAAAATACTGTAAATGTAACATGAATTCGCGAGATAAATATATTCGTTTTTCTCGTATATTTATATAGCATCGGAACATAAGGCAGGCAGGTCAATTCTTATCAAAAATGTTGATTTTCTTTATTTTTACACGAAGAATATTTGTTGTAACAAATGTCTAAGAAATAGATCTAAATTATATTAATTCGAAGGAATTTTGTCACTTGGCCCTCTATAAAAATCATTGTCTCTAGTTTCTTATTGAAGCAATATTGTCATGTAGCATGATGTTCTTACATTTTGCAAAATTATAGTTTATTTCTGAATAGATAATACTAAAGTTTTCATAAAATTCACAGAAATTAATAGATCTACTGTGGCAATCATCTGTTAAACTTGTGCAGTTTATATTTCTGTTGATTTCGAGTCGTTTCGGCCCGAAGGAGTTTCAGCCCCATATTACCCAAGACGTTTCGGCCCTGGACATTTGGCCCTTTACAAAATTGGCCCAATATAGCATTTATAATAGATAGCATTGAAATAAATAAACAAATCAATTGATTAAATCATGATTTTGTAAAGAAAAAGTACATCTGTAACTGTAATTAAATTTCTTAATCCAGAAGTTTTAGCTGTCTGTTTTATAAATCCAGGATAAAAGTGCTTTAAATATTTGGTACACCTTTAAAAACATTAACATATATCTAAATAGTACAAGAGATCAAAAGATTAATTATTATTATAGAATTATTGTTTGTGTTAACAATCAAGCAATAAACCATAGTAGGGCCGAACCGTCTCGTGGAAAATGGCAGCAAAGTCCAGGGACTGATTTAGCACTGGGGCTAATTTCAGTTTAGGGCCAAACTGACCTGTTTCGCTTCTGTCAGTATTAATCATTTCAATTAGGCTTGTCCGAGACATCAACACTGACTGATCAAGTCCCAAAAATATGATTTTGCTTTGATATATTTTTGTTTATTCTTAAAGCAACATCATTTAAAAATTATCTGCATGTTGCCCATGTCTAACAGCGATTTCATTCACTTTTATCTATTTATAGTATTTTCCTATTTATAGTCATAATTCTTTTTATAATCTAGCTTTTACTAAACGAAGTTTCTGGCCATAAAAAGGAGATTTCACTTACTGAATGGGCATTATTTTCAAATGTATATACAAGTATCAGTAATGAAAAAAGTATGCCAAACTGTTTTAATGGTAATTTTATGTCATATATCACTTGTTCATTATAACAGTTATATTAATTTATACGCTTAAAACAAATGTCCATTTGTAGGTTAAAGTCCATTTTGCATTCTATAACTACCATTCACCAAAGCAAGGCTTTTATAACTTAATTGCATGTCAAATACAAAATTTAACTTTCGTACAACTTCATTTAAATTGTTATTATGATTCTTTTTGTCAAAACAACTTACAGAGGATATTGAATGAGTTTAGGCTTAATACTAATTTTATTGAACAAGTTGAATAAAATCATATTATGTGAGCTTCTGGCGATTGGAAGTTTTTTCAAAATTTTATTACAATTATGAAAGAACCCTTGTGATTCTAAATTAATGGGTCCGTTATTTGGTACATGTTTAAGGAAAAAACAATGAAATGCTGTATAATTGATTTAATTATTTGGGAAAATAACATTTTAATTTAAAGTTGTATAGAGGTATAGGTTTTTTTTTTTTAAATTTCATTTCTTAACATGTTGTTAGCACAAGTTTTCCTTATCAGAGAGGCCAGTCATTTACACAATCATCAGGTAATTACAGGGTCTTGATCACAGTTTGATTTTGATAGCTGTGCAGTTGTTAAGTAACTGGTTGTTTGATTGAAGTACTTTATCCATAACTATTTACCATGTGTTTCTCTTATAAGCACACCGTTTTTTTACTATTTATCTTTTCATAATGTAATCAGACAACATAGAAAACATATGACCTGTGTTAAAAATCAATAAAAGTAATAATTGGTTAATATAAAGCCTGCCTATCCAATATGGTTCAACAAGTAATATGCACAGCTCATGCAGGGCCGTCAGCTAATTATCATAAAAAGTTAATACCCTAATTAAGCCAGTCTGCCCTTAGCAGATGGTATGTACTAGAAAGCAGAAAGGATCATGCTGGGCAAAGTTGATATCTACAAAGTGACAGAACCATGTGATTTTTTTTTGGTGTTGTGTGATCATTTGTATAAATTATGATGAATATAAGGAAATGATATTGCATCAGTCGAACTTATTTTGTATTCTAAAAGTCTGTCTTTCATTTTGTTAATGTCTTTCATTTAGTTTGGTATAGATTAAAGTTTATTAGTATATATATTTACAAAATTAAATTGGTCTGGCGCGGCACAGCCAAGCAACCAATTCAATTTGGTTAATACGTACCAATAAACTTGACCAAGCTATATGTAAGTCAGTGTTTTAAATTATTTCTATTAACAGTCGATTTACTAGTTGTGAACTTATGGGCAATTGATATTTCATTTTAACTCTTACCTAAACAGTGATTTTTTATTAACAGTTCTTAGTTGATTTATTAGTTGTGAACTTAAGGGAAATTTATATACCATTTTATCTCATACCTAAAATTAGAACCGTCTACTGCAGGTTTTTTTTAGGAAAATGGGAAACCATTGGTAGGGAGGGGGAAAAATATAAGAGAAAGTCAATTTGGGGATAACTATGACGATATTCATACTTATTACTATATGCTGAACTACATAGTAGAGAATCACAACTATATCTTTTTCCCCTTAAAAACTTAATCATCATGCAAAATATTCTTTGCAGTATAACATTTTAATACATGTATGTATCATGTGGTGAATGGTTTTTATACATCAAATTTTGTCTGAATTTTAATACAGTATAGGTAAAATAGTGTATCTGTGACACACTTTAGCTCCATACAAGTAATTTTCATAATAAGAAATACAAAATATATTACTTAACTAAAAATAACCAAGAAAATGACAATATTTTGATAGCAACAGAACTGATTTCCAGAAATAGTACGGTTCAGTATGTGATATAGCCAAGAAAAAAAATGGCCGCCTCCATGTTCAGACAGTACTTGCAGTTTCCTGCAACGTTTTTGGTTATTTTAGACAACAATTAGTAGGTTCCTGGATAAAATGGAGAAAATTAATATTTTAAACCATATAAATACTTAAATCTGATCCAGTTTAAATGAAAAATAGATTTTTAGGGGGGAAAACTTGGCTATTTACCAAGGGGAAGACGCAGACTATCGGTAGCCTTTTGATACCATCTCTCGAACGGTACCATCTCTCGACCAAAGTGATAAATTTTATATTTGACAAATCAAATTTATGTTTTGCAGCAAGAGATAGTTTAATAAAGTGACAACCACTTACATTTGCTTTGTTTTGGCAAAGTTCCATATTTACAGCTTCATTTTGACCATTCTAATAGTAGACGAAAGTTCAATTTTAAGATAATGGCAGCCTACTTTCATTTTTGAAATTGTGTATTTTTGTAAAGTTTCCACTTTACTAATGTAGATTTGTGGAATAAGTCAGAACAATAAGAATACTTTATGAACCCTTTTTTTAAGAAAATATAGCGTAATTTTACTGTATTTTTGATTTGTTTTATTAACTGTCAACGTTGACCTAGTTTCTTGATTTATTGTTTTGTTCAATCAAATATTTAATCGAACAAGATAAATCAAGTTGAACACCACTAAATATATTTCTTCTGATGTTCTCAATATGCAATTAATACCATTATCAATGTTGAAAAGGAATAATCAAATTTTGGTTGATATAAGTAAAGCTGCTTGTGATTTGAGAAGCTGTTGTATTTAAAAAGTCAGATGAATACTCCAGGAATGTTACATGACATGAAAATAAATGAAAATGTGTTTTTTTTTTGTTCTATGTTACAGTAGAAAATTTAATTAATGCTTATAGATTCAATATAAATGGTCTCCTCTTTCTACAGGTTATTCGTTCACTATAAATAACTTGGTTCGATAATTGGTAGCAAGGGGTCAGCTTTGTTCTACTAATCAAGCACCCCAATGAGTTCACGGCAGCCATTTTTAAAGGTCATGTTGACAAATTTTAAGTAGGTCAAAACGGACACAATACATGCCTCTACAATCAAGAACTTTACTAAGTTTAAAAACACTTAACATCTTAAAAATAATTACAGTTAAGTGAAATTATTGTTCGAGAGATGGTACAACGAGGCTATCAATTTGTTAGTAAAAAAAAACCTGGTTACAGTAAGAAAAACCAAGCATTTTTTCAACGATGCCCCTTTAGTTTAATGTTACCATAATAGCATGTCTTTACAACCCATCATATTGTTATCTAGTCTAATATCGTCTCGCCTCCAGATGAGCAAAAATATTTCGATAAAAATTAAAATCAAACCTGAAAATGTACTAAAACTTTAGGAAAAGTATAAAGATTCAAAATTCTAATAATTTTTTACATGTTATGTGCAATTAATGACCGATTTTTCAGTGTTTATAACTATATTTTTACTGCGTTGCCAACCCAATAAGTGTTTTTTGTGCATATTTTGACCTCTTTTATGGTAATTTACATAGGTTGTAAGTGCCATTGAAAATGTGTAAATTGTATTCTTTTGGTAACTTATTAATATACTGTTTTATACATTTTCCAATTTTCATGAAAATTAGCATGATCTGGAGGCGTGCTGCTTTAAATGGCACTTATTACACTCCTTTGTTTTGAATTATGTGATAACAGGTTTATGTAGTATTTAAAAAAAAACAATTGAATACCTTGCATATTTCAGTGAGAGGTAATTAAAAGCATGTCATACTTAAGGCGCTGGCGTCAAAATGAGGCTGCTGCACAAGCTTTGGCTGAGAGCAGTGATGAAGATGATGTTGCTACAAATATGACAGTAGTTAATGTAGGAGGATATGATATCACATCCTCATCTGAAGTTTTTGATGAAAATAATGTTTCTTATAATGATGACAGTGATGATAACTTGTCGGATTATGGCTTTTCTGAGACAATTGTATCATCTGAGACCGATTCTGAGACGGACAATTTGTCAGATGAAGAAAATGATGAATCAACATTAAGGGAACAATTAGCAACATGGGCTACATCTAATAATTTAAGCAAAAAATGTGTAGATGATCTATTGAAACTTCTAACTTCAAGATGTAATACTTACCTCCCAAAAGATAGTAGAACACTACTTAAAACCCCTAAAATGGTAGATTATGTTGAAAAGTGTGGTGGAAAATTTATTTACTTTGGTATAAGGATTGGGTTATTGAAAATTTTATCTTTGAAGTCATTTTCACTTGATGCTTCAGAACAGAATACAATAAAGCTGAATTTCAATATTGATGGAATTCCTTTATTTAAGTCAACTGGAACACAGTTTTGGCCAATTCTCTGTAACTTCAAAAGCTATACACCTTTTATGGTGGCCATTTTCTACAGTTCACACAAGCCTAATTCTTTAGAAGAATTTTTAATTGATTTCATTGAGGAATTAAATGAACTTATATCTGAAGGCATACAGTTAGACAATCAAAACTTCCATATTAGAATCAATGCTTTCATTTGTGATGCTCCAGCACGAGCTTTTCTAAAAAATGTAAAAGGCCATTCTGGTTATAATGCTTGTGAGAGATGTGCTGTTCATGGATACTATAAAGATAATCGTGTTATTCTTCACTCCGATGAAGTATGCACTCCAAGGACAAATGAGGACTTTGCTGCTTTCAAGTACCCATCTCACCAAAATGGAATATCTCCACTTGCAGCATCAGGCATACCATGTGTTACAAGTTTTAGTCTTGACTACATGCACTTGGTATGCCTTGGTGTTGTTAAGCGAGTTTTATGGTTTTTAAGGCAAGGACCAACAGTATGTAAACTTTCAGCATTACAAGTGTCAGAAATATCAAATGCCTTGATTTCACTTTCTGGTAAATTGCCTTCAGAGTTTGCACGTCAGCCAAGATCATTGTATGATATAGAGCGCTGGAAAGCTACAGAATTTAGACAATTCCTCCTATATACAGGTCCAGTTGTTCTTAAAAAGTTTTTAACCAAAGAAATGTATGAACATTTTTTAAGCTTAACTGTAGCCATAGCAATACTTCTTGATAATGATTCAGTTACGAGAACATCATATTTGAGTTATGCACAAAATCTCTTAAGTTATTTTGTCAAAAAAAGTAAAGACATATATTCAGAGAAATTCATTGTCTATAATGTCCATTGTCTTACTCACCTGGCTGATGACTGTAGGCATTTTATGTGTTCATTGAATGAAATATCAGGATTTCCATTTGAAAATCATCTACAATCAGTTAAAAAATTAGTGAAAAAAGCTAGAAATCCAATAGTTCAGGTTGCGAAAAGAATACAGGAAAGAAAAACTGCTGATTTGTATTGGGTGTTAGACTTAAGTCAACATTTAATGTTATTTCAATCAAAGAAAGAAATAGATGTTTTCTACTCAATGATGGATCGTATGCTTTTGTGAAAGAAAAGAAAGACAAACATAATTTAGTGTGCCAAGTTTTAAAGCAAGAACAGTCAGAAAGTTTTTTCAGAAAGCCGTGTGATTCCAAACTCTTGAACATTGCTATTGTCAGACGTCATCAACGAATGAAAAGGAAAAACATACATATTTCTCAGCTGTACAGAAAACTAGTATGTTTGCCTACTGAGCATGGGAATGTCCTTATACCTATGTTGCACACCATGGAGCAATGGTAATTAAGTTGATATGCATTGTTTTGTTGGTCTGCATACTAATCACACTTATTTTAGTACAATTTTTGCATGTTATGTTGCAAGTTGATATAATTTTATGAAAATATTCTATATACTGATTGACATTGTTGTAGTAAAATAAAATTAAGAAAATCTCTTGATAAATAATGATTATGTTATGAAAAATAGTACAAAGAATCATTTAATTTTGTAACAAATAGAAACATTGCTTTAATACATGTAAGTAAAGACTTCCATTTCAAATTTGTGTTATTAAATTATTGATCAAACCATCTTTTTAAGAATGTGGGTAAGAGCAGTGTGGATGGAGGGTGACAGGGAAGAAGAGGGTGTTGTACCGAAACATGGATTAAAGGTGGTTACCTTTTCTGGCCACCTGGAGTTGATGCACGGAAAAGCTCGTGAAAAGAAGATTTCACCACAGAGCACATGGAG